CACTCATTTGAGATCTATAATGCAAAATTCTAGTTCGGATTTGATAATCGATCCAAAGATAGGATATTCTTTTTTTTTCATTTTTTTATGTTCGACAAGTAATATATTCTACATTAGAGTCCATCGGGTCCATGATTTTTGGACCCGGATCCGATGGGCTCCATCCGCGACATATGTACTTTGCCGCCGCATAAGAGTGATGATACATCTTTTACAGTTACTAAGTGAAGGGAACGATCTATCCTCAACTTCGTTGAAGATCCTCAATTATCTATGGATTGTCTGCTCTCATAATACAGATGCACTAATAGTCAGTAAACTAACTACAGAAGAAGAGAAAAGCATTGAGCAGAAACTAGTGACAAAATCGGCTGTATTTTGTTTTTTATACTAATTATAGTGCTGCAGTTTCCAAAAGTAGAAATTAGCCTAAAATTTTTGTCTCTATTCACTTTTCTTACGTACATAATTCATCTCGTATATCATTTAGTACACAATACACGCATAAAAACTATTCATTTTATGAGCACCGCATTCTTAATTTCAGCGTAACTCAATTGCATTCTATAGTTTTTAGCTGATAATGTTGTAGATCAAATCATATTTAGACGATTTACTGGAACATATGTGTGTATTCAGACCTTGAAAGAAAGGTAAAAAACGTTTCACTGTGGTAATCAACATTTACTGTAAATTATATTGCACAATTGAAAGAATCTAATTTTTGAACATTTGTGTAATACAAAAATATTCCATTTGTTCAACTTATTGAATCGTTATTATTTTCTTTTGATCTACTTTTTAATAAGAACAGTCAATAAAACAATAAGTACGATAAAGAACAAAAATAAGAGTAGAACAATAAGAAATATTATTTTACGTTTGAATTTAAAATCACATAAACATCGTAAACGATCGTCGATCCGCACCTGAAGGAGAAACAGAGTTATCAACTACACAAGAACAGAATTACTATTATACTTACATTTTCTACTGGTTTGATGTCTGAATTTTGTTGAGGCAACGTTCGCTTTCGTCTTCTACAAAACGATGGTAATCTGAACCATTTTCGTCGTCGTTGTCGTCGACTACGAGTGGATTCGATAGATATCGATGAAGATGATGAGGATAATCTTGATCTAACACTTGGCGGTCGTATTTGTTTCGATGAGATGATGGTATGCGACTTCGGTTGGTCATCTGGTACATGCAAATGTATGACGGATTTTTCGTGTGAAAGTGTTGGTATAGCCGGTGGCTCTGGAGCAGTTACCGTTACCGTCGGACTTCTGTACAATGTTGGTCTTACAATCTGTACACAATAGCAAATAAAACATATGTTGCAGGAGAAATTATAATCCAGTAGAATTTAAAATTCTCCTAGTAGAAATTAAAACCAACATATTCACAAACACGAAAACTTGATTATCTGGCTTCAGAGCTCGAATATTAGTTGTCTGAAAAGCACTTGATGTTGATAGACATCAGATGAAGATTATAAACACTGACTGCGAATCTAAAAGTCTCTATCCGACTACAATATAGCCATTAGTTCGAGTACAGGTCACAAAACGTCTACGGGTCAAATTCTGCTCACAAGTCTGCTTGCGGTTTTCGGACTGACAGTCTATGTTTATAATCTTTGCCTGAAGTCCATAAACATCATGTACTTTACTCAAAAAACTAAAGCTCGAGCTATAAAGTCTGATAATGGAGTTTTCATGTTCGTGAATATGTTGATTTTAATTTCTACTTGGAGAATTTTAAATTCCACTGGATTTTAATTTCTTCTGCAACACATATAATGAATATTAAAGATTTACTTACTGGTATCGTTTGACTAGATTGATAAAACGGTCGTATTAATGTTGCTGATTGAATGAAACGATAATTGTTGTAGGTTTGTACAGGATATCGAATAGGTTTCAAAATAAATGCGGGACGAGCCGGAAAACCATTTGGTACTATACTCTGCACACTGGGAAACGAAGAGCGATCCGTTTTTTGAGCTTCAGTATTTTTATTAAGATGATATTTTTCAACAAAACATTTATAGAGTGAAATCACTATGCTGTGATGTTCTTACTTAAGAAATAGTTGTACATAGCAATAATGGTAACATCATGCTGTGTTTTAGAGATTTCAATTATATTTTTATAATGAGATCCAAAAACGCCCAGTTTTTTTCAAGTTTTGTTGATACAAAGAGGGTCACGTGTAAAAAATTGGATAAAATAAGTACCTTCGACTCCAGAAATTTTGTATAACAATTTTTGTGAAACAAAAGCAATCTTTCAGTCTTTTGTATGCGAAGGGACAGACGACGCCACTATCAGCTTAAACCGAAATTATGGTTCTGGAAACATATACTACCCATTTTTACTCCTGAAGTAAAAACACGTTCATCCTGCGGGGCTCATGATAATAGTAAGTCTCTCCTACATCTTTGAGTATAATATATCACAGACAGTAGCGTCCTCTCTTTTTTGTTTTTTACAGATATAACGTGAAGAACAACAATTATGATAAATAAAACCGTCCAAACCGCGAAAAGCCAACAGAACTGTGATTTTTGTTTTTCCAGTATGACTCACAAATTACAATTTTATGGAGTTCATTGTTTTAATCTAAATAATGGTATCATTCATAGAAGAAAGAAAAACAACGAGAGATTTTGAGAGAAATAATAATAATGGAAAAAAATCTCTTGTTCTCCTTATCGTTACGATTTTTTCAGAACAGAATTGCAGAAATAAATCAGAGAAAAGCAAGGCCCTTATTTATACAACAGACAGAGACGGGTTTGAATTTTCTGCATGTGGAAAATATTATTATGACTCATTGCACATTGTTTTCGATTGTAGAACACATGATTATCTAAAATACGGCACAAATTCTACAAAAATTGATAAACAATTTCAAAAAACAAGTTTTCAACTCTTTCAATGGAAAGTCACTTATCTCTAATAAAAAAGTGTTGAACAAACTACATCTTGTCATACCTCGTCTGACTCGATATTCTGCGGAGATAACAACTATGCTGTTAGTTTCAGCACCCTGATGAACGTCGTCATGCTGATATAAAAATTTCAAAAAGTTTCGAAAGTGTCGCCTTAGCGATCAGTCAAAAAGCTATACCTTCAACGATTATGACGAAAAAAAGCAGTAAAAACTTCCATTTAGTGAGAAAATCGCTTATTTTACACGGTTCACTTCGAGGTTCTGAATGTTAATTTGAATCAACAAATCTGTACAAGAAAAGATCTGTTTTCACCGATATCATTGCAAAATATAGTCCAAACTTTGTAACAGTCTAGAAGATATAAAAACAGTGTAAAAATTACTAAGCACATCTGATTTTGATTTATAATGATAATTCTTTTTAACACTAACAAACAGGAAGACAAAGGTTGCTTCCTCATTTCCACTAATTGATTCTAGTTTGAAGAAGAAAAGAATTTTGAAAAAAGCTTTTTTGTGATAATTCTCAGAAATTATTTCCTAATTCGGATATTTTCGTGCCTACTCTCATCCGAAGTGATTTTCACACAAATGCATTTTTTTACACATTCGCATAATTCATCGTTATCGTAATCTTTATTTCAAGATCTCTTATCTGTTCGAAAGTGTTTTGTTTATTTATTCATTTTAAAACTTTGAGCAGCTTTGTGCTTGCTTATTATTATTTTCTCTTATTTTGTTATATTTGTTCAACTTTCATCTTCTTTATATCTGTGTATGGTTCATTCAATGTTTATGTAAGTGAGAATAAATTGTTTTCTGACATAATTGAGGCTTAATAAGTATTTATTTTCTTTAGTTTGATTAAACATGAGCGAAGTAAGATCAATAATAGACATAATCAAGTAAGACAATTTTAATTTTTTGTTTTAAAGAGACAATGCTTGTTTTGTCGTGGGACTAGAACGGATAAAAATTCACGATAACAGGCAATTTAAAAGACGTTTTCTAAGTAATTTTTTGTTTTATAGCGATCCGGCAGCATTGGATGCATATCTTCGCTCACCTGATAAAAATTCTACATCATCTCAACTACATCAGCAGCAAATCCCGTCACAAAGGTAGTTATATAATGAGTGACTTTAAACAAAACTGACCAATCGATTATTCCGTTTAGACTTGAAAAATCCTTGTCAAGTTCAATTCAAAAACCAACATATCCATCCTCGTCGAATACAATGCCAAATTCGAATGAAATGCGTTATGATCAACGAGTATACTCAATCGGTCAACCACAGCAACAGGCAAAGACAAATTATACTTATAATACAAATAATACTAATAATAACACGAACAATAATATTCAAATAACTCAAAATACATTCAATATAAACAGTAACTCGCCACAATTTTCTACAACTACAACTTCTACACCGAATCCACCTGCAAACAATATTATTGTTTTAAATCAACCAAATCCTCAAAATCGATTTCCTCAACAACAACAACAGCAACAACAATCTGTTCAATCAGATCAAACTTTTGGCAATGTACTCAACCAAATGATTGGTTCACAAACAAATGTTAACGTTATTCTAAACCAAACAGTTATTCAACAACCATTGTCAAATCAGTCTACGGAACAACCACAGCCGCAACAATCTCAACCAACCACAAATTCATCTTCTCAACAAATGGTTGCACTCAGTATTAATGGACAACAAACTCTAATACCATTAAGTACGCTTACCAAACTTTTACAACAAAAATATAATAATAACAATACCGCTAATGCCTCGTCGTCATCATCAACTTCTACGCAATTGCATCAGCAACAAGCACAAGGAGTCAAGTATGGCTTGCAATCAATGGTGAATATTATTTTATATTAGAACATCGCTAAATGGAAAATATAATATCTTTAGTTTATATTCTTTTCTTTAGACAGTTTCTCAATCACAAGCAACTACTTCTCAACAACCACAGCAAAACAATCATATTATTTCAAACACTGCTTTTAGTAGTACAGACCAACAAAAAGTAGTTGACTCTTCTGCTGTTCAAATTCAGTCATTTGTATCACCACATCAAACATCACATAATAGTACGAATAATATTCAACCAGTTGTACATTATCTACAACAAAATGGAACTTCTCAAAATCCACCGATCGGTATGCCTTCTATGCTTTGCATAAGATAAATAACTAGACTCAAATATTAGTAAAAACACACATGAGTTTGCTATTTAAGAAAACTCTAGTTGTATGAGTACACAGTCATCAATTTGACATTCCTAACTCTTTATTTATTTTAGACAAAAACACAGGCAGATTTTTCAAGCGATTCAGATTTCTAAATTAGTTAAAACAGTCTTTTCTTCTGTGTATCTGTTTTTATCAAATCGCGATGCTGAACGGTTTCTCAATCTCAAAAGTTGTTTTTGATGACGAATTATTTTTAATTTTAGGGTCAATGATTATTCAAAATACTTCGAACAGTTTACAACGTTCCGCAACAGTTACCAATCCTATTATCACTAATAATCTTCGTTTAATTAGACCAGTCATAGATGCAAAACCGATAATTAACAACACCGTACAACAATTTATAACACCGGCAAAGTAAAATACTCTGTGGGTAACCTCTGAACGAGACAATAATATTCTTTTTCTTTAGTTCTTCCCTACAACAATCTCAACTTCAAAATCGTACAGTATCGGTTTCTCGTCAACAACCACAATTATCAACACCAAATACACAACAACAATTCAGAAGTAAAATTCATCCACAACCAAATGGTGGTATCGTTTTGCAATTAAATCAAAATGATCTGATAGCATCAGCACCAACGTCAACATCATCACTTGTTTTGCCATCATCAATACAACAACAGCAACCTCGTATCGTATTTGCGGCCACACCAACTGTACGAAAACAAACAACTTGTGATAATAAAACAACGAATATTATCAATCTGGCTAATTTAAAATTTTTACCAACTGATCAACAACAACCGAATACATCAGTTCCAATCCAAAATAATGTCAACAGATCTATCGCTTCCAGTTCATCAGATATATCTAGTAAGAAATATTTTTCATTTTGTTTAACATCTGCCTTTAATTATACCTGATGTTCGTTTAGATTCAATACGTCTGAATGGTCATATAAATGATGTCAGTTCTATCTCAAACTCAGTGACACCCGTTGCTGATTTATTGACAGAATTAATTAATGATTTACAAGAACGTGGCAAAGGTAACCTCGACTTTTTTTTGGGTTATCTTCTGGTATTGCTCCATCTTTTACTGAGTAATTAACTCTCCACGGTTACGCACGATCGCTGAAAAACGTGAAAACATATTTTCAAAAAAACATCGACATCACTATCCTTTGTTAGCTCTGAATTCACATATTGAACTCAACAAACAATTTTAATATAAACGTTTTCTTATCGATCAGTTGATGCTAACGAAAATTATCAAGAAACTTGAATTTTCTGAGTCGAATATTATCGGAAAATGGCAAAAATTTTTAAATATAATGATACATCTAGAGATCTATACTTGAAATAAAGTGTCAAGCAAATACTGTCAACTAAACCTTCAGAATAAATTTGAGACTGAAAACGTATTGTCATGAGACATTATATATTTCTTATATATCTATTGTTTTAGAACCAGAAATGGCTATAATGAAAATTGATGAATATTTAAAAAAATTACAAAATCAAAATACTCAATTAAATGATAAAGATCGTGAATTTTTCGAACGTATAGTAAGATATCGTGAAACATTAAATAATGCTGTTGAACAAGCGAAGCTTGATGGACAACATCGAAAACGTCTATTAGATGCTACATCAGCATTACATACTCTGTCATCACAACGTCTAATACCAACAACATCAGTAGCAGTAATAGCTAGAGATCAAGTACAAGGAACAGTAGTAGTAAAAGCATCAACATCTCCTTCAAAATCTTTTCTTCCAGTGACCTCCAATGGCAGTAGTACTATTACTCAGTCGTCATCGTCGTCGCCCACAACAATCATTCAATTACCAATAGCGAAACAAAATGAACTATTGAATAATGTACTTAAGAAATTAAAATTTATCAATTTAGTGGATTTACAAACCAATGGGATTTTACCCAATGAGCTAAGTCGTGAACAAAAAATTTATATTCAAAAATTAGAGATGCAAGTCGCACAATTGCCTGTAGATAAACAACAACAATTTATTCATTCACAACGCGATCTCGTGCCAAAATATCTAGCAAAACACATTGGAACAAGTGCGTCAACAACAATAAATCTTGTAAGTCACTTAATTGTCATAAATTAGTTACATATGTAAGTGTTCCCTCGCTTTTTCAACGAAACCTAGTGGGTTATAGGTTATCGATGATGCTGATTCCGAATATGAATATGAGAGCTGCCCTTAGGACTTCGAAGCTCCGATTTTACAGAAAACCGGAGCTTCGAAGCCCTAAGGGCAGCTCTCATATTCATATTCGGAATCAGCATCATCGATAACCTATAACCCACTAGGTTTCGTTGAAAAAGCGAGGGGACACTTACATATGTTCCCTCGTGAGAGAATGATCGTAGTATAGATGCCATCATGTTCTTTTCAATATTGAAGACTTTTATTTCATCTTAAAAATCTTTCAAACTTTAAGTTTTTAGATCAAAACTCATTATTATTCGCTGTTGATTTTAAATCTTGTACCTTTCTGCGTTAAACTTAGTAGATTCTCTGTTATGATGATCGAAAATAACAGTTATTAATATATTTTGGCATATATTTCTAGAATTCAAAAACAAAAATTCTTTTTGGTACTCCATCAGCTACCACCAAGTCATTGCGTATTACAAGTGCAGACTTGTAAGTATTTGATTATTTTTTTACTCTATTTTCTCCATGAGCTTACATTTTCCTCATATATTTTAGACTAAATCAGCAATTAAAAAAAGATCATAATGCTGTGTTGAATCCCGATTTTAAATCTAAATTTCTCAATCGTACTGATGCAATCAAACGTCTAACACGCTATCATATCTATCAAAAACAATTACCTAATGATCCAACGGTAAAAGAATGTCAACAATGTAAGTAAATCATATTTTAAGCAAAAAAATATATTTGATCTATAATTTTTCTTTTTATCTTATTTTTGTCTATAGTCGATGAATCATTTGAATGTGTATCATCCGAATTATTATTATCCATACAAAATTTAAAAGAAAAATATTCAAAATTTCATTTTTCGAATGATCAGGTAATTTTTTTTTAAAAACATTCTCTTTGTTTTTTTATGTGACTGATTTACACTGGCTAGTTACACGGGACTATTTTTTGTTTTTATTTTAGTTTGATAATTATGCACACGATTCATACATATTGGAAAAATTGCATTATGATGACATGAGAGAAGAATTTGAAAATGAAAAATCACAAGCAGCTGAAAGAACAAAAAAACGTTTTGCAGCTGATATTCAAAGTAAGATAAAAATTAAATCTTTTATCTTATTTTACATCACAGCTGACATTCTTTTTGAAGCGTTTATTTAAAATAATGTTATGTGTTTAGATACTCCAACTCCCGTTTATCCTTTAACATCTACAACCATTAATCAGTCGAATGTCTCTGATTATTCAACCACAAGTGAAATTGATGATTTTTTAGCATCATTAAATTCCACATCAGATTATTTATCTGGTACATCATCACAAGATTTTATTGAAAATGATTTATTCACTGATGTTCTATTGGATCCAAACACAATTCTTCCATCTTCAAATTCTTATCTTTTCTATACGTCTAATACAAATCAATTTGATTTATTTGATCCAGATACAACAACAACATCGAATACAACAGCTACTGATGAAACTCAATTAGCCATTAATTCTATAATGGATTTTGATTTATTTCATCAATCAGAACAATCTTCTATAACTACCACAACTACTACTACTATTACTACTACTACTACTACTACTACTACTATGACTAATAATACTCAGTTGACGACAATGACAAGTTCATTATCTACATTAAATGAAACATTTGATGATCAATTTTATGATAATACCTTAGATACAACATTAGATGAAGACGCATTAGCTGTACAGAATTTATTAGGTTATTCATGAAATATTACTTTACCCATACATGTGAGTGTGTTTTACCCCGTGAACCATATTTCTTTTCTTTTATTTCTCTTGTGCACTCTATTCTTCCTTTTATTACTTTGAAGCCATAATTATTTATTATTGTTTCTGTTTTTGTATTTTGTATATATATTTACACACACACACATTTATTCATGACAAGAGTGCGTATGTCTCTTTTTTTTTTTTCATTACTTTTTATAAATACGAAAACTTGAACTATTTTTCTATCTATTATGCGTACGTATCTAAGATATCTTTTTTGTTGTTATTTTTCGTTTTGTTTTTTACTCTCAGGAACAATTAATATCTTTTCTTTCTTCCTTACCCTAACATGGAATAAAAAGTATTTTGTTCCTTTTTGGTGAACATTGTTTAGGGACATTTATTGTTTGTGCTATTTGTTTTATTTTTTACACTATTGTTGTATGACATTCTTTTTGTAGATGTTGTTTTTCTGTGGTTTTTTTCTTCTTCTGTTTGATAAAAGAAATGTGATGGCTCATAAAACATGTTCAATCAAATATTGTACACATTTGTTTTTATCTACACTATGTTAGTAGTATCGAACAAAAAAATGTCTAATGAATGGAAATGATGTCTTTTGATCCAAGCAGTTGACTATATTTTATAAGCGGTTTCTACTATTATATGCATAAATTTGAATTGTACAGATATCTTACAGTCAGTTTCTTTTGCTATAAATAGTGGATTATAATTGACTGATTAACAATTAAGCATGCATCAGTTACGGTTAACCATAATCGTTGACATGCTCACTCTGCTATTTCTGATTCGAAATGAGAGTGATATCATTGATCTATGTCTAAACAAAAATTGGCTCATCAGAATGTGTGAAATCAGACGAGATATTTTGGATAAAAATGAAGAGTCCCGTTTGCACTATCATTTTCGCAGCAAAAACAAAATTTTTCTTGAGTACACCTGCAAATATAATTATTGTTATATGCGTACAGAAGTTTTTTTTTTACAAATGTTTGATTCTACAAGTCTTACATTGAACATCTTTGCACATAAAGAGCATTAGAAAATATGTATGGTAGAAGCGAACTTTTAGATTATTTAAGTGACACTGTTCTTAATTGAAATTTTTGTATTTTTTCTATCGATTAGATAAAATATATCAGGAGATATAAATATTTTCGTCTACCGTCCATGTTTGATGTTCTTACGGAGATAATACAAAATATTAGTTAGTTATAATATTAGGAGTTTTAGACACTGTGTTTCTCTTTTGAATGACGATAAAGTAGGGCTTTTCTGTCTATCTTACTATAACAATTTGGTAATGATTCATCATTTTCATCAAAATGTTTCTCTCTATACTCTGGTAATATCTGATAGAGTGAATCATTTAAATTATCGATTCTTATCAATTTAACAAGTTTAATTTCTGTCGACGAATATCACTAATGTTGCCTAATGCAAAAACACTGTCCAACTCGAATTCTATCAATTATCATTGATAATGGAGCGTTATCATTGCAGACTGACGAATCATCATCATCCCTCTAAGGTTCTGGATACTGGACGCATTCTATTTGGTGTTCATCATTTAATTTGTATCTATTGGTTTTCTCATGATATGTCTCACATCTTAACCATAACGTGTACAATAGGAGCACTCTAGACATGATTTATCACCTTTTTTCTATTGATATCAGAATTAGACATAGGGTACACATTGATCGAAAAACAAACAGATGATGAAATGAATGATTTTTAAAATCCATATTAAATGAAAATGAACACAATAAAATAATTAAATGAAAAAATATCATTTATGGTTTATGATTTGTATTATGTGCACTACCCATTGTAACAAGACAACATATATTGATTAGTATTGCCTGAAATTTCATGCATTTTAGAAGTCTTATTTTTGTTTTTGTACGATATAGAAGATGAGAAATGGCAGAAATTGTTTATTCATTGTAAACATAATTGAATGTTCATATATTATTAATAAGTGTTTTTCAAAAACACTTCTGTTTCATAGCATGGTGAGATTAACTGATTTTACGAATTTTACTTGAGAAAAAAATCTATACATATGTTATATTCTCCTTTTTCATTTATGCTTGATGTTCTTACAAAACTAATTTTCTAGAACTGTATAACTATTATACATTTTTTTTTCTCTTTCATCTATAATGACTATTAATGTCTAATCGAGATGTAACTTTATAGAATATTTTGAATATGTTTGACTCTCATTTATTATATCAACATTGTCAACTTATTTTTATCAATCACTCGTACATGCACTTTAGTTTTAATTGAACATATACATACACACACACACACACAAATGATGTAATCAATTTTTTTTTTTTGCTAGGCGTGTGTGGTAGTTTGATAAATGATGCATTTTGTTCATCTAGTCGTTTTAGTCAACATTTTTTAACTTACAGGGTAGTTAGTTCAATTAAGATCAGAACAACGATAAGTTGTCCATCTATAGGAAACCTTACCAATTTGCTTATTTTATATTTTAAATACAATAAAATAGTCTTGACAAAAATTGTCGAGATGATTTAAATCCGAAATCGTAGAAAATGTCAGCCTCTTTTAATGTTACATATAGAATCAATTCACGATTAAAAAATCTCGTTATGTAGAGAACATTAAGGATATTTTATTACAAAAAAAAAAAAAAAAATGCGTTGTATTGCACAAAATTTAATATAAAATAGCTTTTGGTTTGTGGTGGACAACACAACATTAAATGTTTATATTACAACTTTTACAAAAAATTGTTAGAATAATAGAACAATCTAAAATATCAGAATAGATTTAACTACTGGAATGATTTTAGCGAGAGAACCTGCTCGCCCTGTTCTCTAGAAAAATCAGATCATAGTACAAAAATCTAAACGTCAAACTCATACTTTTCATATATAGCCTACTTATTTTCGATTTTATTTTCAAAATATAAGCAAGTGACTGTAGTAAAGTTTGCAAATCGTGTATGAAGACGATTTCACATAATACGTATGTGTGAGATTAAAGTACGTTATTTTAAAATTTAAAAAAAAGATTATTAATAATGTATTATCTAATAAAAATGTCGGCACGTAGACGGTAAATGATCGTACATAGACAGATCGCATGCATCATATTGCCGTTATGCTAGTGCCAAAGACAGGCTACATGTTCTGTTTGTAATGATTATTATTATTATTGCGATCATTATGTTCAATAATAATGGGTAATTATTATGAAGTATTTTCAAATGAATTTGTTGTTAGAAGTACTCTATTATTATTATTATTATTATTATTAACTGAATAACAATTTTCATTACTTGTTGTCTCTGTTGATAGTGGATGCATTGACGGTGTATACATTTCAATGGTTGATGAATTTTGACTCGATTTGCTTTGTCTACTTAAAGATAACACACTGTTTGTTGTTAGAGGACCAACCGATCTTGATGTATTGTAATAATCTGATTGATGTTCATTATGACACGTACATGGTTCATTATCTATTCGAATAATATTTTTATTATCTACCATTATCATATTATTGTTATTGTGCATATCATCCACAACTTGTGCAGATGAAAATCCGGTACTTTGTGCTAAATTTCCAACAATTCCATTTAATTCTAGACCATAGCATGAAGTTTTATAATCTAATATTGTTGAATATCGTCGTCCATCTGGATAATAATTATTATTAATTAAACAATGTTCACAATAATGATCGTTTTGTTGTAATTGCATTGATGTTAAATCATTATAGTGAGTATCATTATCGTTTATTTGAATGGGACCGTGTTTTTCATTATCGATTAATGAGGAGAGTGGTGATGGAGATGAGATTGTTGTCGGTGTATGTTCAAGTGGAATGCGTTCGGAATAATAGTCACCATCATTTCGTCGGTGATGATTATTACGCTTTGTATCATAACGTATGAGCCAAATACAACAGGCCAATAGACTAAGTACACCAATAATGCTTAAACCGATGAAAAAAACGCCGATGTTATCTGACAAATGATTTGTATATTCAACTGTATCATGATATTGTGTAATATTAATGACCGACATAGTTTTTGATATTCGTGTTGTGGAACCTTTTGATAATTTCTGATTATTTTTCTGTTTTACTGTTGACAAGTAGATTTGAATAGACGAACATTGATAGGTAATGTCAACATAATCCGATGGAAATGGACAAGATACGAAATCTAAACGAATAGGTTTTGGGTAAAATAGACAATAAGTTTTATGAATCGATGAACATATGGGTTTTTCATACTGATAATGAGCCATGTATATTTGGGTACATCGTAACGACGAATAACTAACAGTAATTATTTGTATATTCGTCATATTGTATGAACAACGTAAATAATATTCTAAATTATCAGTTTTTAACCGCACACTACGAGTGGTAGTGATTGTTTCATGTTGTGATGAATTGTTAAGAAAATAAATACTTGCCGCTCTTGTTGGTATTGGTATAAAAGCAACTATTAGAGCTTTTAACAATAATAATAAAGGTGAAACCATTTTCTTAGAGATTCCACTCCAAAAGAATAAGATTTGAAGTTAGTTATAGTACTTCAGAAAAATGAACATATTTCATAACTTTTATAATTTTATAATTTGAAACTACACGCACACATACACGACGACTTACAGTTACAAAAAAGAAATGATGTTCTGTTTCTTATTGTTGATTTTTTTTTCTTGTACACTATTTAAAATTAAAATGTACGTGCTACAACGGAGAAAAAAAAAGAGAAAAGATAGATATGAATAAGAAAAAGAACTTCTATACACCTTTTCGCATGTCTTCGCTTATTGGTAAAAAAGAAAAGTCACAGAAAATTGTATATATCGTATTATTATTATTATTATTATTTTCTACTACACAAAGTATCATTCTTTACTTTTTTATACTCACAAATTTAAGATGAAAGTTTTTATTTCTTTCTTTGTTTTGAACTCATACTGTTTATATAAAAAACAATAATCTGTGGTTTTTCTTTTGTGCCTTAAAATAGAATTATTCATCGATGTTTACAAAATCCCATGCAAAACTTTCGTTTTTCTTCTCTTCTGCATGGTTTTCTAGACGCATGAAATTGGAAAAATCTACAATAACGCTTTTAGTCTGCGAATTAAAGGGAAGAATTTGATACACCTTTTAATCGGGAAATTGACATCATGTCTAGACGGGCAGGTTGAAGTCAGTAAATGCTTAGCCCTTAACATCAGCACACTCTAAAAAGAAGGTATTTCAAAAAATCCTAAAATAGTGTAGCCATTTGAGAAAAACCAAAAAAAGATATAACTATTCGTGAAAACCTTTTCAAAAAACTAATTTTCGTTTTCTAAATAACGGCTAAATTATGTTCTGAAAAACGGTTGAGGTTATTCATATCACAAAAAACCTTTCACATATTTTAAAATCCCAAAGCAATTCAAGATTTTTTAAATCACGGCGTTTTCGTATTCTAAAAATTCCAAAAGGGTTTTCTGATAGAAGTAAAAAACGTTTAAATAGTTATGATAAGGTTCTAATTTTGTATTATTTCTTTCACTTTACCAAACTTGCCAGAAATCTTCTTGAACTTACTATGGTTTTTGAAACTACCATCCCTCCCTGCTTTAACTTCTTCGCGCCACCACTGCGAAAGATATATTGTTTCAATCGGTGCGCGCAGTTACTCCATATTTCTATCCGACTATGCGTCGCTTGATAGTCTAATACTAAGCAATACAGAACAGAAAACGATAAAATAAGAACAGAAACATCTATCTCCAAGTACGACTTGATGTGAAATTATAACATGTTAGTAGGCTACTTATCAAGGTCGGCATGTCTATTGCTAGTATACGGTAACTCCGGAATTTCTCCCAGCGATAATAAACTTTTCTTAAATTTTAGTATCCGAAATATCAGCCATGTTTCCATTGGTAATTTATTGTATTTTCTCCCTGTGCGATACATCATTTATTCGTACAACATATTCAAACGACAACGCGGAGTTGGAAGTAGCATCTTCTCACGACTTCGTAGTGAGTAGAAAAGAGCAGTAGGGTGGATCTGGACGTGGTGGCAGCAGAGTTTTTAGGAAAGAAGGTGTTTTTCCCGTAACTATTTTTTGAAATAACAGTAAACTATGTCGCTTAAAAACATCTCGCAACGGTTCCCATTCTAAATCGCTAAACACTCGCGCCTTAGAACTATGCATCATAACGCCTGATATTGCTCTTGTAGCTTTGTATTGTGCTGACTCAAGTCGATCACCATTTCTACCAGATGTACAGTGGCGGCAAAAATTTTCCGTACACCCTTATCCTCTTTTTCTTTTGGTCATAACTCGGTGACGAAAAACGTTTTTGACCAGCGGGTTGCACCAAAATATTCTCCGCTCTCTCTAGTATATCTGTAGATAAAAAGAGTTAGAAATATTCATTGTTGTTGTGTGTAGGCTCATTAGATCGAGAAGTGAACGTTTTTCGGTCGGCACAAATTTTCCGTACAGTTGATAAAACCCTTTTTTTACGCCTTTTTTACGCAAAATATGAAAACTGCATCAATCAATAGAGGAGAGCGCCAGCTACATTTTGGTAAAAAATAATTTTGAAAAGTGTTTTCCTTAGGATGAAAATGCCACTGTGAAAAAAGAATTCTGATTAAGCCATTCGAAGGAGCATCAAAAACTGAGTAAGATAAGTCTTGTCTGGAAGTTAAATGGAAGAATTTGACCCGTCGTTTAATCGAAAACTGATATCATTGAGGATACTTCTTTCTGTATCATACCACCAGCGTGGTGCAAACGTGAGGACCTACCTCATTCGAAAGAGAATTCAATTCTGAACAAGAATATTATATTCAAAAAAAATTCTAACACCGGCGCGTAGGCTGAGAAAGGATTTTCGAAAATTTCAATGATTTTACTGTGTCTGAGGCTTTTAGTAACTTGAGTGCAGTTCGATGAAGAATGATCGGGAGAACTCGGAGACCTGTCACTTTGTTCAGAAATGTTTGCTCCGTCGAATGCAGCTGTTTGCAAGAAGTGTTTGGTCAAACCCAGAGAACTGGTTTTGAGGTCTTGGTTTTCCGGAAACCCTTTCTTAGCCTTTTTTCACAGTGGCATTTTCATCCTAAGGAAAACACTTTTCAAAATTATTTTTTACCAAAATGTAGCTGGCGCTCTCCTCTATTGATTGATGCAGTTTTCATATTTTGCGTAAAAAAGGCGTAAAAAAAGGGTTTTATCAACTGTACGGAAAATTTGTGCCGACCGAAAAACGTTCACTTCTCGATCTAATGAGCCTACACACAACAACAATGAATATTTCTAACTCTTTTTATCTACAGATATACTAGAGAGAGCGGAGAATATTTTGGTGCAACCCGCTGGTCAAAAACGTTTTTCGTCACCGAGTTATGACCAAAAGAAAAAGAGGATAGGGGTGTACGTTAATTTTAAAAATTTTTGTCGCTACTGTATTTCCATATATCGGTGACACGTAAATGAACAAGTTTAAGGTAAATGACTTGTACACTAAATCTAATGCCTGTCTGGATAACGCACGTGTATGACGCTTCAAAAGACCAGTTAAACGACTTACTTTACTTAAAACATAATCTACGTGCGCTGTCCATTCTAGATTGGATCTTAAAATTAAGCCTAACTGTTTTTGTTCAGCAACATAAGAAACAGGCGACTTATTGATCAAGACAGGTGGTAGAGAAGCGAGCGTATCACGTTCACCAGAAGAAAAAATCATAGCTTTACATTAATCAATATTTAAATACAATTTCGAAATTTTAGACCATTCGTAAATTGAGAATAAATCTTTATTTAGTTGATCTATAACTTTTCTAATATCGTTTTTCTCGGTAACGCGGTCGAGTGAAGTATCGTCAGCAAACAATCGCATTGTTACACTAACATTATTGCCAAGGTCACCAATAAAAATCAAAAAAGAGTAATGACCCCAAAACCGAGTCTTGGGGCACTCCTCTATCAACGATTCTTGCTGCCGGCGTAATACCGTCTACCGTTGTCACAAGTTGTCTATTTGAGAGATAGCTTTCAAACCAATTCACTAAGAACGGTGCTAATCCCTTTTTCTTTTGACTTTACTAGTAAACCCTTATGCCAAACGGTGTCAAAATGTCTTACGAAATCTATAAAAACACTTAAGACTCGTTCACTATAGTGTTAGCTTTTGATAATATATTATCAAAAGCTAACAGGATCTCATGAACTATGGTGATCAATTGATTAATAGTAGAATCACCATGCCTACATCTCTGACTGGTTCGTATTTAGATGGTTGTACTTTGTTAAATATTCATACACCTTTCGATGCATCAAACGCTCAAGTATTTTTGACAAAACAGGCAGTAAGGTTATAGGACGATAATTATTCACTTCATGAGATCGCTTGACTTAGAAATCGATGCAACATAGCCAAATTTCCAAGCTTTAGGAAACTGTTCCTGTTCTAGATATTGATGAAATAAATGGGTTATGATCGGAATTATAACAGGTGCAGTTCCTCTAACTATTGTCGCTGACAGATCTTTGTAGGACATCATTCGTAACAATGTGCATTAAAATCTCCTGGGAAAACTAAATCAGTATTTTTATAACAATTGTAGCTTCTAATTTCAGCTAAAACAGTGTCTAGATGTACAATAAAATCTCCTATATCAATCCCATCAGGTCGGTAACAAGCTGATAACAAAATAGTTTTTGATTTAGAGAATTGAATAGAACAGAAGAATTTTTCCAAATCTATATTATCAAACTCAGTTTAGCGTTTACACGATAGATTACTCCTTAGATAAATTAAGATGCTATCACTTTATTTCCCTACTTTGTCTCTTCGAAATCGCACCTAAAAACCGTTTAACAATAGTTCTGAGTCAAGAATAGTATCATCTAACCAAGTCTCAGTAATTACTACTACCGCACGTTTTTCCAGCTCTACTAAACTCGCTAAAATTTCAAATTTTTTGACCGTAACCGGATGTAGTGCAGAAATGGCATTTTTGCCATCGTCAAAAAGTTTATTTATTTATAATTATTATTTATAATTTTTATTGTAAAACATGGTGAAATCGACTGTGACTTAGCCACAGTTACTGGAAAACAGTAAAAAAAATTGTTTTTTTCTTAATCTAAATTCTTAGGTTTTGAAAACTTTTAGGAGCTGATCCATTCGCCTCGATGTGCTTCAGAGTTTCAGTCGTACACGAAATACTTGTGTTGATGTTTTGGTGTCTTAGAAACACTTTTTTAGTCTAAATCAGTTTTTGAGACGGCGTGAGGGTGAGAAAGTGCACGAGGACGCAAAAAGCGATTTATCTCGTGCATTTTCATGCGGTCTGTCAAATGCAATTGAAATTTAAGTTTGAAAGATCTTAATTTATTCTGAAAATAAATTTTAAATTTTTTTTAAATTTCGAGTAAAATCAGGATATCTCTGACGATGTATGTAAAATATTTGCAAAACATAAGAATTTAAATAATTCTGACTTG